TACTACAGGCATAGCCTCGAGGCGGACGTCGCCATCTTCCTCCCCCGTCATACTGTTGACGAGATTGTATAACTGTGCAACGTCGTCTACGGTAGACACAGCCTGGATCAGGGTCGACGCCTGGCGTCTTGCAGCCAGCATTCGGCGTCGCCGTCCCCTCTGTTCAGAGGTTCTATGTCTCCGTGAGACCAGGGTGAACACGCATCTGGTGTCACCCTCACTTTCCACGCCATTGGAGCTCCGATGTTATCTACAACATCCGACGAAGAACTAATAACCCGCAATCTCCGTCCAGTGGACAACGAGCCACTCCAAGCGCATCTCAAGGGCCGTGCCCAAGATACCTCGGCCCTCTGTCCGACCACGCCCTCATTGGCATGCAGCGACTGCTTTGATACTCGAGCAGCGCTCAGTAGTTTTTGTGCCACTTCATATGCATCACGAAGGCATCGCCCTCGATGTCTCGGCCCTTGGTCGACCATGTCACGCATTACATGCAGCAACTGCTCCAAAACTTGTGCATCACCCAGTGGGTTACGTACCACTCCACGATCAGCCCGCGAGCCACGCTCGGGACTCCTGTTCAATACACCATTGGTGTCTACCAACTCGGAAATATCAACGTCTAGCACGTTGACCGTCTTGGTCCAGTGCTCTCGCCAATAACGCTTTTGTCTCCTAGTAGAGGTGGCTTCATGACTCGCTAAAGCTCCACCAAGAGACGTGCGCGTAATGCAGAGATTCTATGTCTCGGTAAGACCAGAGTGAACACGCATTTCGCGTCGTCTGGAGTCACCCTCACTTTCCGATCCTTTGAGCTCCGATGTTATCCAAAACATCCGACGAAGAGCTGCCAACCCCGCAGTCTTTGTCCAGTGGTTAACGTGCCACTCTAAGCGCATCACGAGGGCCTCGCCCTCGATGCCTCGGCCCTTAGCCGACCATGTCACGCATGACATGCAGCGACTGCTCCGATTCTTCAGCAGCGCTAAGTGGGTTACGTGCCACCTCACGTGCGTCACGAGGATTTCGCCCTCAATACCTCAGCTCTTGGCCGACCATGTCACGCATGACATGCAGCGACTGCTCCGATTCTTCAGCAGCGCTAAGTGGGTTACGTGCCACCTCACGTGCGTCACGAGGATTTCGCCCTCAATACCTCAGCTCTTGGCCGACCATGTCACGCATGACATGCAGCGACTGCTCCAAAACTTGAGCAGCGCTCGGTGGGGTTTGGGCCACTCCACAATTAGCCCGCAAGCCACGCTCGGGACTCGTTTTCGATACACCTTTGGTGACTACCAACTCGGACATTCCAATGTCTAGCACGTTGACCGTCTTGGTGCAGTGCTCTCGCCAACAGCGCTTTTGTCTCCTAGCAAAGGTGGGTTCATGACACGCCACAGCTCCACCAGAAGACGTGCGCGTAGCGCCCAAGGTCTTTGACCTCCAATCAATCCATATATCATGGTTTTCCTACCATGCCATTCCCAAGATGAGGTCATACCTTGTATCCAAGTCTAAAACTAGAAAGCGTTCCACGCTATCAAAGTCAAGGAACTTGACTTCAAGGTCCACAGGGACCTTCGGGACCGTGTCACGTGTCATCGTCGCTAGGCGAGTAGTGACGATGTCATCCGATCGCACTTTCAGCGCCTCAGCATACAGCTGACTTCCCTCTATCGTGGAGCGTCGAGCATAATTGCCCGACGCCCCAGAATCAATGATGATCTTCCATGGCTTCTCGAAGACCTTTACGGTCGCCTCTAAGACCAGCAAGCCCGGCTTACTTACACGTTTCGTTTTCAGGAGCACGGAGCTCTTCGGGGCTAAGCCCTTCTGACCTATGCCCCCCTGAGGCTAGACAGAACTCAGTTCTTTCCCAGTAGGTCGCCCCGCGCCTACTGAGTGGTGTCGTTCCCCCGCGACAGGCCCGACTGGTAGGCGTTGATGCAATGGTTTAAAGAACTTTGATGCGCCTTGCGCAGGGGGCAACCGTTCCGCAGATGACGGGTGTCTTCACAAACAAAACACCGTCGTGTTTGTGTGCTGCCCGGTAGCTCGGAGTTCTGCTTCCTCGTCCTCAGCATGGCTGAGTCCATGGGCACAGGACCGCTCGACGAGTTGTTGGAGTGTGCATTCCAACCAAGTCGTGCCGACCTGAAATTAAATTCTGCATTCAATGCCACAATCACCGACTCTTCAAATGAAGACGGATGCACACGGAAGACCTCCATTCTGGCCACGTCAGTGCGGTGGCCTTCCATAAAGACGGTCACTGTGACCACCTTCGGGAGGGGATCCGCTCCCATCACAAAAACACGCTGCTAGACAGAAGATGTCTGCATCATTGGCGTCTATGACGTCACCGCTAGTAACGGATGACCTCCCCGCCCTAAGCCGCTCATGGTGAGCGTTAAGGTGTCTGAGGGGAAGGATGGAGAGAATCTCATGCTGTGGGTGAGAGATGTCGAGATGGTCATCT